ACCCGGCCCCTGGCTCAAAAAGGTTGCCTACCCCTGCTCTAAAACATAGCCTAAAGCACCTGATATTCATTGGCAATCTCCCATCCAAGTGCTAACCTGGGCTGAGCCTGCTTAACTTCCAATATAAGACAGGACCTGGCTCCTTTAGGCTATTTAGGCTAATTTAAATAAGGCTAATATATATTTGTCATTTATGAAGGAGTCAAGAGCCAGACAGTAGAAAATAGATGAGTTGGAGCCAAAGGTGTTTTTTTTACCAACTTCATAGCCCTGTTGCCAAGAAAACTCTTCAGTGGGGTTGCCATAAATCAAGATTCAACTTGACGGCACATAACAAGAAAAAGTAGATTAACATAACTCAATGGTTAGTTCCAATTATAATAGACCTATGAATGGGACTTAAAACTTGTATAAGCCACATTGATTCAGTGGTTCTTACAATTGGATTTAGATTACCAATACTTAAGTCACTTAGAGGCAACACGTTTATTGCAACTATACTTGCATCGGCTGTGGTTTATTTTCAGACATTAGTCTTGCGCCACATGAACTACTGTGAATTACAAACTTTTATTTTCTGGATACTGATGATAAATTCAATTGTGTTGAACATGTAAGTGCGAATTTAAGTGTCTTTCTTATAAAAGCAATATACATTTGAATATAGTACATCCTTATGTTTATTTATATCTTCCACCCATAATCTTGGTCTGTCACTCAGTAAGGCTCTATCAATTTTAATGGGTTGAATCTATAAGGACTAACACTGGATTTAGGCCACAACCAGCCACTCATATTAAAACAAAATGAAAAGCATATCAGAAAGGGAGATTTTTACAGTAAAGTTTGAAGAAACAACTTCCACAAGATCAGTTTGCCTGTAATGCCAGACTATTCATATGAAATTTAAATTAAGACTTTGCAAGCTGTGATTTTCACAAGGAGATTGAAATATATGTTATAATTGTGGTATGTACAAGTCTCCAGAGAAATAAAGTGAGTAGCAGAAGCTGAATTGTACATTATGCTCATCTAAGCCAGTGGTTTGAGTGTTGGGATACAACTTTGGAGCCCATTCTCAGTTTGACCAGGAAACCCACTGGGTGACCTTGGACAAGTCACATTTTCTCAATCTCAGGACAAAGCAATGACAAATCTCTGAACAAATCTTGCCAAGAGAATCCCATGATAGGGTTGCTGTAAGGGTTGCTGTAAGTCAGAAACAGCTTGAAAGCACACAACAACAAACGACAAAGCCAGCTTTATAGTAATGATCACGCCAAAGTTTTTAAAACATAAGAAAACATGGATACCATGCTTGAAAACTGTGAGCAATTTTTGCTTTCAAAGAAATCTTGTGATATTTATAATAATGTCCAGAATTCAGTCATCCAATGCTCTTTTTAAGGCAACAAGATTGCTTGCAACACTTTTTGATAGCCTGAATGCTAGAGCATTAACATTAGCATTAGCTTGCTCCTTGGACTGAAGGTTCAGGCAGGATTTATTTATCCCTTGTGACACAAGTATTCTAAGTCCATAAAGGGATTAAAAAACAGACACACTGGCGCTCTAAAAACATGCTCACAGAATGGTATCTGAGAAGTTAGACCTAGTCAGAATTACTATAGTCTTTGGCATACCTATCAAGTTTAACTTGATTTCACACACCCTCAGCATTTGAGCAATTTTAAGCAAGGCCTTCTGAGCAGCTTAGGGTACAACTATTTGTTTCAGTTTGGAACATCCTGTAAATTTATTAACTAGGATAATGGGAGACAGAAGACAACTGCCATAGTTTTTGTTGCATAGCTTGCAACAAGTGTATTGTGCATTTTGGTTGGCCAATAAAGGTATCACTGATGGATTTTTGTTTGAATTTGCTAAATGGCCAACACAGCTACCCCTGAATGTCATCGCTTTTGTAACTTTCAAGAGGACATTTTCATTTCAGAGCCAGAATTCAAAATAACTTTGTCAAACCAAGCGACTAGCACAGAAAGAAAGAAACAGTCCGGATAGCTTTCATACTTTTTTTTACTTTCATTATTTGAAATGCATGTCATTTAAAGTTGTGTGTCTGCAATTTAGATGAGACGTGAACGGTTATATAACTAAGACATGCTGTATAGGAAGAGAGCAGTTTTCCTTGAATAAAAATGTTAACTGCCTTTGAGTCAACTTTGACCCATGGTGACCCCATGAACATGCAACTATGAATATGTCTTTATTACAAAAGCAATATACATTGACCATATTGCCTCCAAGAGCCCTTGTCCTCAACTGCTTGGCTCAGGGCTATGGCCTCTTTGATTGAATCCATCTATGATGTGGCCTTCCTCTCTTTCTACTACCTTCCACCTTTCTTAGCATTATTGTCTTCTCCAGTGAGCCATCTCTTCTCATGATGTGGCCAAAGTACGGCAGCCTCAATTTAGTAATCTTGGCTTCTAGGGAGAGCTCAAGCTTGGATCTGTTCTAGTACCCATTTGTTTGACTTTCTGGCTATCGTATTCTCAGCACTTTTTTCCAGCGCATCTCAAATGAGCTGATTTTCTTTTTATCTGCTCTCTTTATTTTTGAACTCTTGCATCTGTATATGGTGATGGGGAAAACAACGGCGTGTACTATCCTTACTTTAGTGTTCAATTTTATATCTTTGCACTTTTAAGATTTTGTCTAGCTCTTTCATAATTAAATGTAAATGAATAAAAAATACATGCAGAGAAGTTTTAAAAAGATTGTGCTAAACTAGCCAAGAAGCCAAATGAGAGCCCAGTGAAGATGCCACACCATCACTAGAATAGCAACTTAGGAAAGTAGTCATGACAGCTCTTCATTTTCTATATCCTTCTATAATTTTCATGTAATGTAAACAAGATTCTGTAGAGTGCCTTAAGCTTCATGTAACTAAACAAACAAATGGTAATTGTGAATGCAAAGATGAATAGCATAGGGGTGTAATTCTTCACTAAGGGCAGAAACAGACGGCCCATGCCGGATTGAGGCTGCCACAGAGCCACACGCTGCGATGCTGCTGCAATCCCACATCACACCCACAACCCAGCATTTTCTGAGCGCAAAGAGTAGTAGTAGAAAGCCACTCCTTTTTGCACTGGGAAAAAGGCACCTTGGCTGCTGTGGTGGCTGTTTTTTTGGCTCTCCTGCAGCATGTGGTGTCTAAATGCCTTGCTGCCAGAGTGCTGAAAAACTGCCATGTGGGCAGCGGGGCAGTTTCACAGCATGTTCTTGGCATCTTTGGGACGTGCGTTTTGTGTATGCCACTCCTCTAAGCCGCCAGGAAGACACCACATTTTGGCAGTCTGTTTTCCCCATAAGTTTCTTTTTGAAGGTAGCAGTGAAACATTGCAGCAATTCCTGCTGCAAGAAAGTTGCTATTCAATTTGGGCCTTTGCACAAAATTTGCATATGGCTGCTTAACACAAAAAGCAGCATTTTTAACTTGGAAAATATTTCAATGCAGATATTAATCCCTGCACAGAAAATCCAATTTTGTGTGCAAATCAAAGCAGAATAAATCCCCAATTGCTACACTTTCTGCATAGAAAACAGCAGGGCAAATAATATTTCAATGCAGAAGTATTAATTTCTGCACTGAAAGTGGTTTTCTATGCAAATCAACTATATGCAAATTTTACGCAGAGTAACTCCCCAATTTTCTGTGCAATAATTAATATTCCTGTGATGAAACATTTTCCAGCAAAAAAATTGCTGCTTTCTGCGCAAAACCACATGCAATTTTTGTGCCAAATAAATCTCAGTTGTGAAGATTCTTGTCTGTCCAGGACTTTTCTTGTTAGGGTTCCAAACACTCAAAAAATATTCTGACCATTTCCCAAATATTTTTGAATATTGAATATTCTTTCCATGCTTTTTCAGCATCTTTAAACAGCAAGTGTTGTACTTTTTAATTGATATTTTATTACAGTTCTATAATGCTCTCATAGTCTAGTTTGCATTTTTATTTCTTGTGAGCTATTTTTTTCAGATGTTGCATAGTTTTGGGACAGAGATTGGATATAAATAAATAAACACTGCTACAAAATCAATAACAGCACCAATACAAAGAGCAAT